ACATTTTTTAATATGTTCGTATTACTGATTTTACCTTCTTTTTTTTTTTTCGTTGTGTTTTCTTGCTGTGGTTTCTCCCCATGATTACTGTTTAGTGTTTTATTTGTTTAATTATCGTTATATTTAGCAACTGTACTTTGACAATGTATAAATACTTATGTAAATTCATAATATTGTTATGGTATTCAATATCTATATATGTTTATTGGGGACCTCAGCCAGGATATGGAATATTCTGCCTTGTGCTGAGAAAGCTTGGGAACTCTTACTGTAGTCTAATTTATTGTTTCAAAATTAGGAACAGCTAGCCCTCGTGTACATATGCGCGAAATCCAACAAATCAGTACATGTTTCACTTCATATGCTTTTTTTCACAAGGATTGTATGCCTTACAGAATTAAATAAAACGGGATTTTCTTTTAGAAACAATTTATTAAAATAAGTATAAACTATACTTAATAAAGGGGTCTCTTTATTCGTTAATATAAATTTTAATGCAATAAAACCTTTATCTCATTCAAATACTGCCAAAGATATTAAAACATTCACCAAACAGTTTGATGATTTCAATATGCAAACAATATTTCATAAAAAAACTCGACGATTTACTGAATCTGTACAATTAAGATAAAAACATTTCAAAAACGTGGCCCTGGTTTCCTTCAAGCAGACCAGTTCTAAGACACCAATCCCTTTCTACAGGAATGAATAATACAGCAGAGAAAAAACGATCAACATTTTTTTTTCTTCTTATTTCACTCTGGTAATTGAATCGGTTACTTTGAACGGAAATGTGAAGTAAATGAAACTGGAATTCACAATGCTGGAATAAAAAGTCGATCACGAGCTCTCGTCATTGTATGCAGTAAGGAAGGGGAAAAGTAAAAAAAGAAGTCTGTTCTTGGCGAATAAAACTTAATCCTGCCATCGAATTATTCAACCAGACACACTTAGAAAGTTTCTACCGACGCTACTCTTCTTTCAATACTATCATTTCATTCAGAGCTCAATATATTCAATCAACTATAAATTAGTGAAACGGTCCCTAGTATACTAGCTGTGAAATTAAGCAATTATACCCTAATTCTGACTTGTAAATGACTTAATTAAAATTGACAATTATTACACTTCACTTATGTAATCTAGTTTACACTATAACAGTTGTTGCTCATGTAACTGGTCATATAAACAGTTTGCCTAAATCGCTAACTTCTATGCCTGTTGTATCCCGTTAATATGCCCTGGCATTGAGCGAAGGGCCTCGTCGGCAATGGATAAGGCAGATATAGTATGGTTGATATATTATTATTTAGCTTTGGCGAATGAATCTCTTAAAATATTTTTTAGAGACTTTTTACTTCCTAATGCATAATTTAGTTTTCCGTAGAAGCAAATTTCAAGATTAATATTAAATTTAATACATTAAATGGATCAAAATCAGAGAGTAGAAATCTTGATCACATCTCTACTGTGAAATGGGCTGTTTTGAACAAGAAGTGACGCAATTGCTTTGCCACTTCTACCAAACTTCTTAACTTGACCTCTACACCTCCTCATTTCCGATCTACTTCCCCTTTCTTACAACAATTTTCTTGGAGAACGAACACTACTGAACATCCTCCCAGAGATTTCGCTCATTTTTAGCTCAGTTTTACGTCGTTTCTAAGATATCTATATATATATATATAAGAATGCGTAGTACAGTTTCCTTCAAATAATTTGCCAAATTTAAGGAAGACGTTTAAAACATTACAAGAGCTTAAACAAAAAGTCCATTATGGACTGAGAGTTCTTTTTTACCTGTAGACTTTCACCGGATCTGTTGGGCTTTCATCAAGGGTAGAGCTGGGTATGCAATTTGTCTGTCAAATAATTGGTCAAACTGCACATCTACTAATTACATACTCTTCTTTGCTTTCACTTACAAATTCTTACAATACTAATGTAGTTGCCCCCAGTGGCTCAGCGGTAAGTCTGATAACTAAAAGTCCGGTTTCGATATCCGTGGTGGGCACAGCACAGATAGCCCATTGTGTAATTTTGTTCTTAACAACAAACTAACCATCTAATGTAGTTTTCTCCCGTTGACGCTGTGGTTGCTTGATTCTCTCCGAGAATAAGAAGGTTGGCTTGCTGTTTCGCAAGCTCTTCTGAATTATATTAAAGTTAATTCAAGCAAAATAAAAAATAATTGAATCTTGTGCTTTTACTCGTAAGTTTTTAGAATAACAAGTTTTTAGATTATTGTTTACTTTTGTCAAAAACGTAACGAAACGTAGCTTTAGGAGACTAGGAATAAAACAAGTTACATTCGAATTCGTTACTGCAGCAAATAATATAAATATAACGTCTATGCATAATAATAACTGATAATAACAATAATAATAACTGATAATAACAATAATAATAACTGATAATAACAATAATAATAACTGATAATAACAATAATAATAACTGATAATAACAATAATAATAACTGATAATAACAATAATAATAACTGCAAATGATCCAAAAAGATGATTATAACTGACATTTTTTTTAGTAACACTGTTTAATGTAAGCGATCTCGAACAGAATCCTTTTAAAATGTCATCAGCTATTTCATTAGGTTGTTGCTTGCTGATTTTCACGCAAAGCTATTTGAGGGCTATCTGCGCTAGAAATCTAATTTTGAAGTGATGGATTATAGAGTTGGTAGCTAGTCAACACCACCCACTGCCAACTCGTAAGGTACTCTAATCAAATATTGTGATTTGCCCATCATTCGTATAACGCATACACGGCTTCAGATATCTTTTTTTTTTGCGTTAATGGGGCGCGAACCACAGAACCTCGAACCCAGGTCAGCACGTTAACCACTGGATCGCGCTCGCTCTACTTCGTTAGTAAAATTGAATACATTTTCTTTTATCGTCTGACAATTTTGATTGCTTTATAAACTTCAAATATATTTTTCCAAATTAAATCATTCACAATTTCACACAAAAAAGTGTCCACAAGCAATATCATAAAGTGTCGTGAACTCAGAAAATTTTCGTTATCTTTAGATGTCTCGTGAGAGATGCAAACTAATTAAAACTATTTTTTACAATTTTTACAATGCATGAATGTGTAATTTTATTAATTCCTAGGCTCGGATTTGAACCCAAGATCGTTCGCACACCAGGTGAGTACTCTGTGCTATCATAGGCCACCGCCCCCAGTAGCTCAGCGGCAAGTCTAAAGGCTTATAACACTAAAACCATGTATTGATTGATACACGTGGTGTGCACTGGACCGATAGCTCATTGTGTAGCTTTGCGCTTAACAACCAACCAAACAAAACCATAATACATCCCACATTCACCTCCTACACATAGTCTACGAATATTCAATGTGATTTATTCCGTTCCCATTTTTTCTCAACCTTGATTATTCATAAGTAATCAAGTTAACTCCTTCAGAGATTGATCTTAATCTCAATCACGTATCAGTGAAAAAAAAGACAACCTCTAATTTTTTTAATTGTCATGAATTAGTACGCAGTCTACTCCATTACAGATGGTAGACTACTGTTTTTATGATCTTGAATAGCTGAATACAGTCAAGTCCTTCAGAGATTGATCACGATTTCACACAAAAGTCAATAAATGAGAATATCTCTTATGCTTTTTACGCACAGATCTTAACTTATTATGCATGATTAAATCCTTAAAACAACCGTAATGAAGAATCAGTAAATAAGATTTTTTCATGAAAACATGCTTATATCTCTTGTAGATTGTCTATGATTTTAACGAGTCAGTAAATAATTTAAAACTATTTTCTCACACTGGTAAAAAGTTTAATAAAAAGCAACTCATTTCTTCAGAAACAAACTGAATATATGAAACAAAATATAGCTTTTTCTCACGAGTAAAGGAGTAAGTGTGCGTAACTCCTACAATTATCCAGAAAGTAAATATAATTCTGCATTTTGTTCACCTAATTTATGAGCATGTAAAAAGCAAAACATTCACTTGTTCTATAAATAAAGATGCAACCATAAAATAATAGTTGAAACGAATATTAGGAATTTCGAACTAGAAGACATTTTAAACTAGAGTAATAAAACATAAACAACATTCCTATGAATCATGATAAAAGTTAAGTTTAATTTCAAAATAAATTCTTCTTACAGATACGTTTCTTTTGTTGTTTGTTGATATATTCAATACCTGTTTAACCAGGGAAAGATTCTTTCAAAAACAAAATCACTAGTAAGAAAAGGGTCAATATCAGAAACGTGGTGTAAGAATAGATTTAAAATCAATGTAAAGAACGGATTTACCTCCATAATTTCACGAACAACATCTCTTCCAACAGCTAGAGCTTGTACAAATGTACGAGTTGCAATGAAAGATCGTTTTAATTCTAAAGTCAGTTTTCTGGGAACATCACCAAATGGTTTGAGCTCCTCCATGTGACTACTAATACAAGACAGATAGCTGTCGCTGAAGGTGTACTGATTATTCAACACCTGCAGAAAACGATTAATAATTTTAAGTAACACTAAAACTTATGTTAGATACACCTGACAATTACACTAAAAAGATGGTTAGGTTATGTTAGCTATAACATTAAAAAGTTAGCAAACTGAAAAGCTAAGTTCGGTAAGTTATTTAATGGTCAAAATAAGAATACATCACCAGCAAATAATGTACTGCACGAGTATAGATCTTCTCAACAGAGAAGTTAAATTAACAGCCTTGAAATAGTGACATTTAAATGAAGAAATCAAACTCGGTTCAATTTAGATATACAATAAAACATTTTACTCATTAGTGATAAGTTTAAAAAGTTCGAGAAAACTGGACGTACATGTATACAATTTAGACTGAAAACTTTTTAATATAGAATCCATGCAGCTTTTTTAATATAGAAAATGCTTAACAGCTTATAGATAGAAGCTGATGATGTAATACTGTTAAGAAAACTTCCGTTTGTATTAAAAACACACCTACCTCGAACATTTTTCGATAGAGAGTATCAAAGAACGAACCGAGGGCTTCTGATAGATAGATTCCACCTGAATTATAATAATTTCTCAGATCTCTGAACATGTTCTCAAAAATGTAAGAATTTTTATCGTACAACATTCCGTAAGTTCGTAAAAACATGTGGTGAAAATCTTTTTGAGATTCGTCCAGCAATTCTTGAAAGAATTCTAAAAACAGAGAAAAAGAAATATGTACATACATAGGTATAGTGTATTGGAAATAATTATGGAAACATAAGAGAAAATTGGGGATACAATGCAAATATCATGGAATTACTTCCTTTATTTTGTACAAAAATGAACTGAACCAGATTACAGCCTCCTGTTGTTAGTTTACAGTGTGGATAGTTACTTGAAAGGCTCTCTTAACGAAATGCTTCTGCCTGGGAAGTTTTAGGGCAAGTTTTGAGCTGCTGGTATAGATCTCCATCTGCGGCTCGAAACGTCGTACAAAAACCTTTCAAGACAGATGTAGCTCATTAACAGCGCTTTTTATGTATACTCTCCTCTGTTTAAATCTTCCCTCAAGCGATAATTGTGAATGGTTATCATTCAACAAATCAGACAATGCTACCTACACCTGTATAGTATTTATAAAAATACAGGCAGTCATACTACTCCTAGCAGTAGTGTGGTGAATACACTTATGGCTCAGAGGACAGAAATGGCATATGGCAAACATGTAAAAATCATATTTGTAGCTAATGAATACTAATACATGCGATAGACTGGGGAAAAATTTCATGTTTCATTAGAAGCTGTATGGAAAGTCTGAAGAGGCTACGTGAACCAAGTACTATTGATAATAGAATTGGTTGAGATAAAAACTCTTCGAAGATAATGTTATGTAACTTATCGTATACTTCTTACATGATAGACTAATAGAGATTATGTTAATATAAGTACAGCTGTGAATTTTACCTCCCAAACAATAAAATACACATTGACACGAAGTGGCCTCAATGGATGTACACCTAAGAAAAAAACAACAACAATGCTTATGAAGGATAATCAAACCAAACGATTGAAATCGGTATCTGATTAAATAATAGCATAAGGAAAGCTGAACGATGGCGCTCCTTATAGATGAATCCAAATTCAAATTGTTTGGCAACAATCATAGATCGTTCAATGGCACAAAGGGGAAAGGTATCATACTCAACGTACAACGGTGACAAATGTTAGTGGATTAATACGAGTGTCTGATGCATCTCAACCAATGATGATGGAGATCTACACAAACTTGATGGCACCCTGACTTCTCACAGGTATATACAGATTCTTATTCATCGTGTCATTTCCCCCAGTAACAAGACCTGTCGAGTGGGGATTCACCTTCCAGCACAAAGTGATACCAATCATGTAGTAAATGTGGCAAAATTATAACTGGAGGGCAAAACAGATCAACACAACCATAAGTTTTCTTTTGAAAAGGAAAATACCGTATAACAGACAAGTTTGAAAACTGTTCATAAGGCAGACAAACAAAATATCTTTATTTATCGTTGAATTATTTTGTTTTTCTTTTTAATCAACGCTGAGCGTTGTCGCAACACAAAAGCTGTTTATTAACATATATTAAACATCAAAACTTGTACATATAAGCACTGCTCTTAACCAGATTTTTAAAATGTGTGTAATGTCATTTCCTACTTAACGGATTTTAACCGTAATTTTACACGTTATCGATCTGCTGAGAGCATTATTAACACGAAAACTCGATTTCATAAATAACTATAAATGTACAGAATCTCATAAGAGAAAGAAACTGCATAAACATTTCTAGAAATATTTGTTTTTGCTTATACGTTCAAGCTCAAGGTGGTTGTCAAAGTATTAGGATAGATAACACTTCTAATTTCCTACGGTAAGAAAAATTGATTTCGAGACTATTCTAGTTTATATTTTATCTACTTGATTCACAGTAGAACACTATTCCAATAAGGGTTTTACTTATTAAGTATAAAAGGATACTTATGTAAAATATATTAGCTTGATGGTAAAGTAAAGTTTCAAATACGGTACTAGTAAGAAAATCTATATAACTAATACGCTTGCGTTTGTTTATGGGATTTTTCTCACAAAATTCTCGATCAAACGCTACAAATCTCATATTGTTAGAAAGACTTTTGTCCGAGGATTTCCGATTGCATGTTGGCTTTTCCATTCAGAATCAACTTACCTGTTTTTTATTAGTCAATTTTTTAATGCAACGAGTATTCTACACGATGGCACAATGTTGTTGTCATCACGTGACGACTGGCTTCGACTTTAACTTTAGTTATTCTGTTTTTTGCAAAGTATTTCACACAAACAACACTTAATCCGCGTGCAATTTCCTAAAAAAATTAACATTGCACTGAATAAAATTTCTATGGGCTTTCTCGACTTATTTGTGTATAAAATACGCAAGCGCAGTTCGTTCAAAACCATATGCTTATCAGTTAGTAAACACGCATTTAGGCGTTTCTGCATATTCATCTAAGTTTGCCTTCATTAGAACTTTACATTTATTTACTTTGCAATAATTTAGCTTCTGCTCGTTTCATAGACTGCTATAAACACTTTTTGTTCTTGTTTCTTGACTACGGGTTTTATTATTCGTTTGTGTGTTTTTGTTTCAGTTCGTAAAACCGAGTCAAACACTGAGCGTTCATAACTGTTTCACACTCTGCACACTATAATAAATACCATTACTATACTATATTGTTTACTATACGTGTGGTTTTATTAAATAAAGTTATGTCTACGTGAGTTTCTTTGTCTGACTGCTTAAATATTTTTCAAAGAGATCAAGATTTATCGATCTAACACATAATGCCTGAAATGACGGAATAATGGAAATTCAAGCGAAGGGCATGCAAACTGCCACAAATGTTTTGAGGGTCGCGACTAGTAATAAAATACTAGACTACATGCCACATATTACCGTACATAGAGACTGCGGTTATTTTTGTTCACACTGACTGCTACTACAGTGAAACTTGACGATGTCAATAACGAGATCTGATGTACTGCAGATCGTAACTAATCTAATGAACTTTACCCAGTCCGTGACCTCTCTGTTAGTGACTATTCCTCAGCTCATTAATCAGTGCTGATCTCTCAGGCTGTTTTTATTGACTCCACGAGTTTATCATTATTCAGCTCAAATATACTTAGTTATCATTCATAACTCTTCAAATACTTCAAACATCATCAAACTATGCATGACTATTCCACTTATCATCAAATAGTCTGTGACTACTCCAATCGTCACCTTGGTTCGAGACTGCCCCTGCTACCATTAACTAGTTACTATTAATCAGTTCGTTGTTACTTCAGCTACCATAATTCTGTCCAAGACTGTTCTATTTGTCATTGTTCTCCCCAAAATTATTATCATCGCCACTGATCAATTCACTACACTTAACTGACTCAAGAGGTGGAAACTTTGGTTATTAATAATCAACGTGTGACTGGTCTGATTACAATTGACCAGCTCCAAATTACTCCTGTTAACATCATTCTGCCGTAACTACTCCAGTTAAAATTAGTCTGTGATTGCTTCATGACCAGTCTGGTTGTCATTTTTCTAATCTTGAATATAAATATTGCATCAGTTATCACGAGTACATGTTTACCAGCAATGACTTAAATTTCTTAGTCTTATATTCAGTAATATATATTTCAAAGCATTTTAACTGACTTTGAGAGGTTGTAATTTATTGTAATTTTGAATAGACTGTGTACTATGTCATGTGCGTTGGCTTTGTAATGTTGATATTGGTTGTTTTATTTCTTATCAACTTACCCCACTCAAATACAGTTGGTAAGATGGATACTTTGTTTCATGAAGTTCACGTTATATTTCCATTAATTATAAAACTTCCTTTTAAAGACACGTTTGTTATAGCGGTTAATGCATTCGTGCTGTTTGCTGTTCACAATAATCTGTTTTTCTCTGTAACATAACTACACAGCAGGAGCAACTCTTAAAAGTTCGTGATTAAATAAAATACTTCTTTAAAAACAGGTTCTGGTTTCTTCCCAAAATGCGTGTTAGATACTTCAAAGGAAAAGTAGCTCGAACGTTGTTTGCTAAGTACAATAAAGGCTTAATGGCTGTTCACAGTAACGGTGGGGAGAATTGTTGTCAGTAATCTTTTGATAATCCCCTATAACAAGCATGGGTGACTCAATTGAGATTAACATCTTCAGGCAGACGTATATTTGCAGTTAGTCTACATAGGGATTGGTACACAGTGCGGCTGTTATCAATGGGACTGGTTTTTTCCCGTTTGTTTTCCACTTGAGGTAAAAACTAGAAAAACCTTTTCCATTCCCCAATTTTATTCATTAGGAAAAATATTACATGCGACACCATTTTTTATTGTTTTTTTTTAGTTGCTTTGCTGTCAATTATAAAACCCCACCTCTTAGGCAACTGTAATAACACTGATACTTCCCACATAGTTACATATAAAGTGCTGTGTGTTCCAGCAACTTCTACACTTCCTATGTAGTTAGTGTGAGCTGAGATTTATCTCCTTTGAAGTTAGAATAAAAATCATCGTTGGTGTATAGGTATCCTAGGATTTTGGGATACTGCACTATGAATTAGGGTTCATTTAAAATTATGGTATCATCATCATTTATATTCCTGTCTTGGTCTTACGCAGAAATAAATAAACCTTTCTTTAAGCTTCGGCAGCCAGCCAATCATAACAACGAACCTCGAAGCCAGTCAGTCTGAGCAAAAAACCCTTGTTATTCATCATTGTTGGAAAAAAAAAAATTTCTATTTATTAACTTACGTTTGTTTTGTTTTTCCATGTTGTAGATGTTCGAACCACTCTATGCTGAACATTTCCGGAATCTGCTGCCTTATTGTGTATTACCTGCAAGTTACCTGCTAGAAATCAGTGTACCTGAATACCGCGCTGTTTCTTAAACACTTACATATGATCTCCTAAAATCGCAATCACCTCAAAATTAGTTCGCAGGTGGTTAGATATTATAATGTATTGTCTATTAAATTACACCAGTAATCTCCATGCGTTTGTTAGTTTGTTTTTAATATACAAGAATAATTCAGTGTGAATAACATAACGTCAGCAATATGGCAGGATTCTCAAACTTGATTAACCTTGCTGTTAAATCTTGAATGAAAACAGTGTATGTCAATT